TTTTTTCCCCCCCCCCCCCCCCTTTTTTCTTGAGTGAAAGACTGGCCTAAACAAGATTCAGGGTGATGATCAAGCTGCATGCAGCATGCAGCACTGTCAAATGCACAAAATAAAAAAATAAATAATAAATGTTTTGGTTTGTTTTTTTTCACTTGCATGAATCTTGCTGCTCAGTTTTGCTAGTTGAATCTGCTATATGTATAGTACCTTTTGGATGTTGGTGAAAAACCATGCAGGTATATAGTAGCTGACCCTTGCAACTTTCCGCAGGGTTTGAGTTAAATGACTGTAGTGGCTAAAAATTACACTTCTCTCTCTTTAAAGTATGGAGTTCCTGTCTAATCTAGTGCCTCCTGTTTCTGTAACGAACTAATAAATAGTTGTATCTATAATATAATGTGATGAGTTGGATTTGGAATTTTAAATGCTATTTGTTTAGTGGCCCTTCTCATATAAAATATATTAAGACAAAGTTGAAAAAATTGATTTAAACATTTGTGTCAAATAGTGGCAGATATGCCAAAGGCAAACAGGTAAATCTTACTTATTCCCTTGGTGCAGGGGTCAGCAATGTTTTTGGGCAGAGTGCTCAAAACGCATGCAACCTCAACTTGTAAGATGTTGGCGTATCAGAGGCGGATAGCGGAACAGCTGTGAGGTGCGTGACCCTTATAGCAGCACAGTCTCTGCCCCTTCCACCCTGTCTGCCTCTGAGATGTGCGTACCAAGAAAAATGTCTGCATGACATGTTCTAGCACCTGTGCCGGGGGTTGCCTACCCCTGCTCTAGTTCCATTGATTGTTACAAATTAGGCAGCTTTAGTTGTGAATACTGCAACAAAATCTGCTTTAAAGTCATATAAACATTTAATTTTTTTTCCTGAAACACTTCCTGAAGTCAAATCTGGATGGAATATTGCAGATGGTGCCTGTTAGCATTACAGATGCCTGTCAGCAATCTTCAACATAAAAGGGTTTCAGAGAGTCATTTTGGCAGTAGTAAAAACACTGTTTATATCAGTGTTTCTGTTGTCACTCTGATTTGGCCTTTATTGGTTATAGAAACTAGTCAAATTCTGTTTCTTGAGACAACTCAATTTTGTATTGTTTTTCCTATGTGTAGGTCTCCTTTGAAAAGAATGGAAAAGTGTTAGCCTAAATTTGTTCTCTGCAAGCACCTCAAGTTATGGGGAGTTAGATTTGAGGGAGAGGAGTGAAAAGCCTTTAAAGTAAACAGAGTCGCTTTTTTTTTCTTTTTTTCTTTGGGTTCATTTTCCTGCTATCTGAATTCAGTGCTGGTAAAATACTGAAGGAAAACAAGTTTCTAGCCACATCTTTGGTAGGAGAGATGCGGCTAACTTTAACACTGCCCATAGTGGAATCACTGTAAAACTCTGTGTACTATACTGATACTTGAATAACACTTTTTCTCTTGTTTTATGCAGAATCAGATTCAGTACCTCAAGCAAGTCCAGCAGCCTAGCGTTGCCCAACTGAGATCAACAATGGTGGACCCAGCCATCAACTTATTTTTCCTAAAAATGAAAGGTGAACTGGAACAGACTAAAGACAAACTGGAACAAGCCCAAAATGAACTGAGTGCCTGGAAATTTACGCCTGATAGGTAAACAAAAACAAATACTCCCCAGTCAAGACTTCCCTGACAGTCCCACTGCGAGAATGCTATGGTGGGACAGCCAAGTACTCGTTTCCACACCAAGACTCAGACGTTTTGAGCCAAAAAGCCACATTCTTATACTGTCCAGCTTGTAATGCTTAATGTAAAACTTACCAGATGAACCTTGTGTTTCAGCTTTTTTCTCCCCTTTGCTTCAGAGGCCTGACGGCGTCGGACTATTCTGAAGAAGTGGCCAACTCTGAAACAAATATCTTTCTAGACCATGTAGACACTTGCAAAATGGTTCTAATTGAAGAAAATAGAGGGAGAAACAGAAGTCTAAAGTCTGTGGCACGCTGTGTCTACAGACAGTGTGGAGGAGAGAGAACCTAGAGATTATAAATAATGAATTGAACATGTTAAATTCCTGTAAAATGTAGAAGTGGAATATGCTTCGCTCTTAACCTTGAGCCTAGTGACTTAGAGACACTAAGTCAGTTTTGCCAATAAGACTGGACTTCCTGCTTGTTCACTGAACTGCTGGGTCAAAACTCAATGAGGTGAATTTTGCATAAGAGTTTGCTAACCAGCTTTGAATAGCCATCAGAGAGTGGTATCGCATGACATCAGTGGTAGTGTACGTATTTGATTGTTTAACACTTGGGCTCTATAGCACTTAACTGAGCCTAAGCCAACATGATTTTAAATAATGAATTGTTCTTTGGATGATTGGTAACACTGTGGACTTCTAAAAAAAAAAAAAAAAAAAAAAAAAAAAAAAAAAAAATTAGGACTGTACAAAAATGTAGGTCGTATCCATTGCAGGTTTTAAATTGTTTGAAGCAATAAATATATATTTGATCACAACTAGAGTGTATAAGGAAACTAGTTGTGAGGAGTATTTCACTGCATGGTTTCATGCAGAAATGAAAAATTTTTGTTCTCCTAAGAATGGTCTCAAATGCTCAGCCTACAAGGCACTCACAATGGTAACTGTCTTCTTCAGTGTTGGTGGGATATTTTTGTTTTTGTATACCTGGGTTGGGCTTTTTTTGGGAGGGGGGGTTGTATTACATTTTCTATATAAATGTGCCTTAAAATAGTTGTAAAATATAGTTCAAGGAACGCTAATGGTCAAACTATGGTACTGTGAAACTGTGGGGATGAATTAGAATGGGAGAGAACTGAGTTGCCTTCATCTCTGAAAAGAAACGTATTTAATTGCATGCATCCTCCTGTGGTGGAATCAGTTGAAGAGCTTTACTACTCTCTTGATGCCTGTTGGTATGGTATCCCAAGTTATTTGCAAGCCCAGTAATATGGGACAGCCCAAAGTGCATGTTCAAGGTGTGTAATTATGGGGGAGAATTATGAAATGATATGGACTGGTATAGTCTTTGTACATTTTTAGATTTGTTTTCCACCTAGAATATTGAAGCTTCTATGACCAAATCAATCGGGCATTTATTTCATGACTCCATCAAACACTGGAAAGTTAAATGTCAGATTTTACAAATGACAGCAGGTCTAACTTGTACTAGAAGTGATGCCTTATACAATAGGGAAACAATTTGTTTCATCATTTGAAATGCAATTTTATCAAGGTTAATTTAATTAAACATTCATTCTTCAGCTCTCTTCAGTATGTTGAACCATTGTGTGCTTTAGGTAATTAATGTAGAAGATAGAGTAGCGTGCTTGTGTGTAGGTTTTTTTTACTTAAGCAGTGGATTTACCACAGAGAAAAATAAATATTTGCCAGAGGTTTATCTCTTTAATTTTATACATATATTACATTTTTTTGTTATGGCAGTATTTAATGTTCTAACAGTATAGCATCAAATAGAGGTAAGACTTGCATACGTAAATTGTGTTAATGTGTTACAAGCCATTTGTGTAAAAAATACTTATATATGCATATATTTACTCTAATATGCTGTCAAAAAGGTAGCAATGGTGGATTCATCTGGCATCCTGTGCAGATTGTTTGGTTTACTTGGAGTTCCTAAATGTGGTGATATGTTTTGGTAGAAGTTGCTAAACAGATGTCTTTGGGATTTGACTTAGGTGTGACACTGAACTGACAGATTTATTACTACTTTGCCTTCCTTTCAAACAGAAGCATCAAAGAAAGTAGTTTTGCTGATATTTATATCTACAACATTTCCCAATATAAATTATTTTCCCAATACAAAATTAGCTTGAGTGTAATCATGGGTAACTATATTATTAATGGCATGCAAGGGATTGATCAATTCTATTTTAAATATTTATAATTGGGCTCATAACTTTCTTCTCAAAAGTAGAGAGAGAACCAAATTTCAACAAGCCCTTTACAGCTTGAGAACTTTTTATTTATCCCACCCACTCTTTTCCCCTTATGGCTCTTTCGCTTGTAACGCAATACCTCTTTTCATGGCACCTGACCTGGTGTTTGAATGGGAGCATGAGCTCTTGCAAAATTCTTAGATGTCCTTATAACATGTCTGTTTCAAATTCCTTGGAAGCTCAAACTCAATGAGTCTTGTAGGATTTCACTACTGTAGATTTGTATGTTTATGTGATGTTTAAAGGGAGAGGAGCAAGGTGGATATAATCAAATCAATGGCTTCACTAAGCCTTTTAATCACTGTGGAGATTTTTGATGCACAAAGTAAGCATTTAAAAAAAACATCAGCAGAAACTCACTTACAGGAAGCTCATGACTATAAATAAGTCTTTTCCAAGTCTAACAGATTACATTTTTACAGGCTTTGTAATGATGCATTCAGGTTGTTTTAAACGCACAACTGAAAAATCTAGTTCTATGACAAGAATTATTTCAATATTTGCTTATTTTGATATCCCTGCATATATTGACTTCTTATGATATAATTTAACATGCAATGTGAGGGTACTTGGTCACATTTAGAAATGCAAAACATCTGGAAAAATTAGAGGGGGAAAAATAAACTGCATTATAGGTAACTGTGCAAATTCCTATACAGGTAATAAATGGAGTAAACATAATAAAGAAATTTAACAGGCATTTGAAGTGGTTAAAGTTGAGGTTAATGATGGTATGCATTAATACAGTTGGGAATGGCTGTGTTAAGAAAAATTATGAACTCTAATTCAAAGTGGTTATGAATAAAACAGAATAAAAACATACCAGTAACAGGAACTTGCAAGGGGCTAAATCATTTTGTCTGCCTAAAACTTTTTCTAACACCTGTCATTGGTTAACTCCAAAGAAGTCCTGGTTTACACAGAGGAACTTATCTTAAACTGTTATTTGGATTGGATTGTACTAGGTCAGCACAATTTTAAGCATCAAGGACCTGACATTGGACTTCACATCAAGAAAAAGAACAGGTGGCTGCACTTAGCAGAGTTGCAGGCTTCCAGGACTACTTTACACAGCCAGATATCTTCTGGAGCAGCCCATCTGAAAGATGGAGAGTCAGTTTGAAGACTTTTAAAATGGGCAGAGCTTTTAAAAATTTAAAGTGTTGAGTGCTGAAACCTTAATTCATTGCAAGGTGCTTATTTGAGATTGACTTGGTTGGGCACCACTGTTGCAGGAAAGAACTGTGGCTGTGAAGCATACTAGTGAAACTTGCTTTACCTTTTAATCTTCAAAATTGCATTCTGTCCTCGTTACTTTATACAGCTCCAAGCTGACTTCCTTGGGCTCGTCAGCTAACACAAGTCCTGTAGTTGAATTTGCAATAAATCTGTTTAAGTCTGTTTTTTCCAGGGCTTTCACTTCCTGTGGTGGGGGAGGGGGAGGGAAAAAGAGGTCAGCTTTGCTGTATTGCTGAACCTCAAAGGCAAAATATTTGTGATTTGCTGCTCTAGCTTTGGCAGACCACAAGTGTGTTAAGGGCTTTAGCTATCAAATTTTATTTTGTAATAAAATCAACTTTTATTGCCTATATATTAATTTGCATACTGGTTCCTATAATGCTTTATTTACACTGCCATTCTTAACATGAAGATTAAAGTTGTGCAGGTATTCCTGATTTGACAGAAAGAGCATCTTGTCTGTTTTTTGTATGAAGCATTGATCTCATTCGGTATCTTGATTATTAGATGCTGAAGGCCACTGTTGACTAGAAACCTGGTCAGTCCTAAAAAGTCACTCTTGTCCTGCCATTTTATATATTCTCAGATGCATTTTCTTTTATTTTCCCTCTTTCACTGTGAAAGACATACAAATGGGAAGCTGACTATATCATTTATGGAAATAGACAAACTTGTTCCCAGTGCAGTTAAATGAACTAAGTAAGAGATTTCTGTTTTTCACTTTACATATTTAAAATAGTAGAACCTAAACAGAATGAAATCCAGTATTAATTACAGCTCTGATACTAAAAAACACTTAAATGGCTTGTGGAATATCTAAAGTGAGGGAATATCTTTAATGTTTGTAACTTAATCAATATGTTTTTATGCAGTACTCAAACTGTCAGATAACCAGGTACATCTTTAATCAGATACTTGATTTTTTTTTTTTTTTTTTTTTTTCCAAGAATAGTCTCATACATTCTGTGACCCTGTTGGTAGTTTGGCTGTAAGTAACAAAAAAAGGAACACTGGCCATTTGTGTTTACAGTAATAAAATTTGCCTTGCACTCTTATGGAACAGCGACAGAAGATCAACAGACAGTGGAACAGCATGCGGTAACTATAGGGAGACTTTCTGCTATGACAATTACCTTAAGGCTTAATGTTCCTTTGTGACATGCAGAAGTCACATCTCCTATCCTTTTTATAATTGTAATTTGAGGAAAATTGTAGAAGGTTTGTCTTCATTTTGTGATAGATGGCTCTTTCCTTTGCAGCCAAACAGGCAAAAAGTTAATGGCGAAGTGTCGAATGCTTATCCAGGAGAATCAAGAGCTTGGAAGGCAGCTGTCACAAGGACGCATTGCACAGCTTGAGGCAGAGTTGGCTTTACAGAAGAAATATAGTGAGGAACTTAAAAGCAGTCAGGATGGTAAGGGATTTTTTAAGAAAATGGAAACTGCCTTGCGTCTGCACTGGCTTCATTTATTCTGCTGGTCATATGGCTATTGTGAATCATTCCATTTTATTGAGTACAAGACTATTTTTCTTTGCAGAATTAAGCTATATGTAACACCCCTCCCCAAGAATATTAAGACTGACTGCCAAGGAGAGAATTGTAACTTCATGAAAGTGGGGACTAAGATTGAAACAGTTTCCCTTGGAGGGTGGGGGGCTATTATATGGTATTCTTTGTTGAGGCTGCAGATACTGCTGTTGAATTAGGCCTAAAACTGTTCAAATTGAATTTTTAAGTTCATGGGATGTGTTGAGGTCAAATTTTGATTCACTTCAAGCTTACTAAAACAAACAAAATCAATAGAAGTCATCAGGAAAGTTGTGCTCGCTGTCAGGATTTCAGTGAAAAATAGGCGGTTACTTTTAAAATGAAACGCTTCCCTGCAGAGAATCTGCAACTGAAGCTATTTGTAAACTGATTAGTTTATTCTATGGTTAAAAGGAAAGTAAAAGAATCCCAGACTTGCAATTCCCAGTCCAGAGTTTTACAAAATTCCCTTACCTGATGTTATAAGAGGCTTTCATAGGATGCGCACTTTTTTAAAGAAAGATTTAAACTTTGACACTGTAGCTGAAACCCAAGTGTCCAGTTTTAGTAGGTGAAGTCCTGACAGAACTATAGATTTAATTGAATTATACACCTTGTGTGGTTTTTGGTTTGTATTTGGTTTTTGGAGATGCAGGTTTTTTTCTCATCTTGTTCTATGTAGGATTATGATGTACAAAAGTAAGTTTTGAGTGGCATCTAGAACAGCAGTTCCCTGTTTCTTTTTCTTCCTGGTCCCAGCTGCTAAAATTTGAATCTCTTTTGAAGTAACAACTGCTAGTATGCTGGCCTAGAGTAATTGGGGAAAATATTTTTGCAACTTCTGGCATTAATTTTCAGTGTTACTGGAAAAGACTACCTTTTTTTTATTCCCTAAAAAAGGAAGCTGTGTTTAAATTCCGTAGTTGACTTCATCTAAATTTATCAAATGCTAATTAAGACAGGGCAAGCGAATTTCCTTTTTTAAGAATTACATCTGCTGATCTCTATGCTTAAACATAGTGTGGAGCTTTGAGCTTCAGAATGACTTGGAAATAATTGTTAATGCTCAGAACACTTTCTTCATAGTGAACTAAATGTTCTTAGCAAGGTTATGAAAGGCCTGAGCTCTTAGTAGCTTCTGGTTTGATTCTGTGCATAGTTGATCATTTTCTCTCTTGATTTTTTTTTTCTTTTCTTTTCTGTAGCTGCACATAATCTGCATTGTCATTTTAGAATTTTTTTTCAGAATTAAAAAGCCCCCAACTTCTAAAACCAATATAGAAGCTTTAATTTGAAAAGTGACAGAAAACTGCATTGTGTTCTGTTTCTTATATTGATGCTAGATGAGGGGTTTTTTTGCCTAGTTTACAAGTAATTTTTTCCCCACTTGCCAGCGTAGTAGCCTCAGTGCATACTGAAAGGAAATCAGTTTTCTCTTTGCACATTACTGTTAGTGAAAATGCTGTAAGCTTAGGTTAACTATTGTCAAGATTATATAATATGCCAACCTTAAATTACTTTCTCTTGTAGATCTTAAAGGAGAGAAAAATAATCAAGACATTTGGCATTAAAGTAATTCATTTTGAACATCAGGTGCCTTTATATATTGCATAAACGTGTACTGTTCTTAGTTTAAATTTTTGCTATAACTGCTAAACTATTGTACTTGGGAACTAATTTCTCTTCCAGATACATTTTACTCTTATTTTTAAATGCAGCTTTCTTAACAGATCTGCAGCCTTCCTTTTGTCTAAGAAATGAATTCCTTCATACACCTGCTTTACAGCAGTGTAAAGAGTATATTGATGGCAGTTCAGAATTTCCTCCTAGAGAACTTCTAAAAGTGCTGCTGTGTCAACGTGGGGATGTGACAGCTGAAAACATAGGCCTTGTGGCATGCTCAGCCCATGAATGTTTATTAATCGTAACTCAAAGTAGATGATAGTTTTGTGTTTTATCTGTGAGGATCAAGATAGGAGCTATAAAGTGTGTGCTACAAATGTTTTTTTTTTTTTTTTTTTTCTATATAGAATTGAATGACTTCATCATCCAGCTTGATGAGGAGGTAGAAGGTATGCAGAGCACCATTCTAATTCTCCAGCAGCAGCTGAAGGAGACTCGCCAGCAGTTGGCTCAGTACCAGCAGCAGCAGTCCCAGGCCTCAGCCCCAGGTTCCAGCAGGACTCCATCATCTGAGCCTACAGACCAGGGAGAGGCTGTGGGTAAAGACTGCAGTCGTCTGGCTAACGGACCAAGTAATGGCAGCTCCTCCCATCAGAGGACGTCTGGGCCTGGATTTTATAGGGAGGGTAGTGGCACAGAAGAAGACTTCCCAGCTTCTCCAGGGAATGGTAATAAGCTGTCCAACCACTCTGAAGATAGAACTGGCAGAGGAGGTGGTAGCTACATAAACCAACTCAGTACGGGGTATGAAAGTGTAGACTCTCCCACTGGCAGTGAAAACTCTCTCACTCACCACTCAAATGACACAGACTCCAATCATGATCCTCAAGAGGAAAAAACAGTGAGCATGAAAGGTAATAGAACTGTGGGTTCTCGTCATGTTCAGAATGGTTTGGACTCCAGTGTAAATGTGCAGGGCTCAGTTTTGTAACATTTTTTTCCCCGCAACATTTTTTTATACAGTGTCACTTGATTTGGGAGAGGATACTGTCCAGAAACCATTTAAATTAGTGCATACTTGTCACAATTTTGCCTTTTTGTGGGTTTCTTTTTGCTTCAATACCTCTACCGCCACTTTGGAAATTTTAACAGTTAATTACGTTGAATGTTGCTAAAAGGACGTTTGTGTAGGCTCAAGTTATTTTTATATGAGTTAATGTGAAGTTGAAAATGGAAATTATTTCCACAAAGTATAACATAAATGATGTCTGTACAAATCTGTGTATATCTAGAATCTGTGCTGTGTAAGGGCATTCTAACTCATACTGTTATACTTATTTACACCACATTCAAAATTTGTCATAATAGCTGTGAGTTTATGACTGCCGAGTTTGCCCAGTACAGTAGTTTTATCACTAAAAGATGGACTTATTGAAGGAGTCCTGTAGTAGTTTCAGTGTTAATTACAGTTTTTTCCACCACGCATTTGTGCATTTTCTCCTTAGGTGACCGAATGTTTAAGAAGTTTGTGTGCATAGTTACTCAGTTTTTAAAAAAAAAACTGTTGTATCCTGTTTATGCATATTGCTCTGTGACTCCAATATTATCTTACCTGTACTGACCAAACCTAAATAAAACTTTTAATAATCTAACTTCTTTACTTGCCTCTATTAGTTTCATAAGACATACTAGTATGAAGTGAATTTTTACTCAGTTTTTCTGTTTGGTTTTTCTCTACTGCCAAATAGACTAGTACAAGTCATACCAAAGAGTAAAGGTTTTTATGTGCTATTTTGTATTCATTTGTAAGTGCTTGTAGTTTAATTTCAGGTTAGCCTCCCTGCGCTTATCTTACAGGTTGCTGCTGCTTTTTTATTTTATATAAGCAAGTGGGGGAAATTCTATGACTGTGGATAAAAAGTTGATATACATGAACCAGACTACTACAAAGCTATAAATGTCCTGTGTGCAAATACACAATATTAAACTTACAAAACATAAAGAAGCAAGTAATCCACAGCCTCTTTGACTTGATCAGTTGCACTGCTTTTGCCTACAAGTTAAAAGTAGACTGATTTCTTTTTTTAAAGCATTTTATACTGACAGTCATATTTTCAGTTACACTCTTTTTATTGATCAGGAACAATCAAGTTCTCTAGCACCTGGATTTCTAATGGCGTGCTCTCTCTGCTTTATTACTTTAATGACAGCATGAAAATGAGATGATGATGATTGCCTTGAAGTACATTTACACTAGATAAAGATGCTATAGAAGTACTGTACTTCATATTTGTTGTTAGGGAAGAAAACATTTAATTTACGGGTTAGAGTTGGGTGAACCAAAACATTTTTGCCATATAGTTGCTATCTGGAAAGCAACTTTTTTTTAAATATACCTTCAACAAATCATCTTAAATTCCTAGCTTATAAAAATATTTGGTACTATAATAATGTGCGTCATTGTGTGCTACAATAACACGCAAGAGATAAGGAATGGAAATAACTATTAAACACTGCTATTAGGGAGAAGTAATTCATTTTATGGATTGCTGTTAAATGTTAATTTGAAGTACAGTGAATTTTAAGTGAGGGCAAAAATAGTTGGGTAATCTATACATGCAGTGAACTTCTCTTGAATTTTGTGTTTTTAATCAACTTCCTCCCTTTGCTGTAAAATAAGCATATGCTAGAGAAACTACTGGGGGCAGGTACGTAGTGTACAGAGTAAGATGAAAAAAGTTTTCTTTCTGTTCAATAGATTTAAAAATAATTTTCAATTTTTAATTGAATAATCAACAATTTTTAAATTGACTGCCCCTTTTATAGTCAGATCTTGACTACTAAAAGATGGTTTTGCTCAAATTTTAAATGGCAGTTAAAATGTTAGTATGTTTGTATTTTAAATCTTAAAAGATTAATATGACATTTTCTTGATTTGTGTATTGTTTAAACATTAATTTGTAAAACTGATAGAATAGTAGCTTGAAAATATTCAGAGACTAGTTTTTTTAAGAGGTTCCTAAATTAAGCTTGATTAAATATTTTTAAATAATTTTTTACAAGTTACTAGTATGTTAGCTGCTCAAGTATCAGTGTAAAAAGAAACAAGTTCCCCTCTTTCCATCTTCCACCTCCTGCATATGCTTGTGTTCAAGTAGATGAAATGGAAACAGTCAGTTAGAATTAGAAGCAAAACATACCAGTTAATGAGACAAAAGCATGAAGTAATAGTTTAATTTACTGGAACTTCTTTTGCAAAACATTTGAATTACAACATAAATAACAATCAATGCAGAAATGTGAAACATAGGCTCTAGATTTCTGCACATTTTTACCAGCTTTTAAGTATATATGGATGTATCAACTGGTATAACTTCTAACTTAATTCATTTTAATACAAAGCTACAATATGCTTGCACGCACACAGTCATAACTCATTTAATTCATTTTAATACAAAGTGGCAGTGTGTGTGTGTGTGTGTGTGTGTGTGTGTGTAAAAATCACATTTTATTGATCACTGAGGTTTAGTGTGTTCCTTTTTAAATGCAAATACTGCATAATCACTGCTTTTCTCCTAATATTCAAGGTGAAATTTTATCCTCAGTGAAGTCAATGATGAAACTTCCACTGAACTCATAGCAGTCTAGGTTTCATCCTGCATGGTAAAAGCAGTGTTCTTTTTTCTGCCTCCTTGGATTGCTGAATGCTGCTTGAGATTAAGCCCCTGTAACCTAAATAAATGTATGGTACATGCTCTTTTAACTGATGGATAAATTAGTCCTTTTTCTTATCACCCTATATAGCCAAACTCTGGACAGTTGTAAATTGTTCCATATATATTTCTTTGCTGTTCAATCTCCTTGCATGCTTCATGCAGACTTCTTAGCAGAAGCCAGTTCTTTTCAAAAGAGGTGGCCAGTGTCCAGTTAGGGTTCCATATGTTCCTTTACCTCACTGACTATAAGGAACTTGCAAGCCAGAGTACTATCCTTCCCGTTTCTCCTGAATTACTGGGTTGCAGCTGCCCCCCTGTGGCTACTCTTATCACTACGTCCAAGAAAGCACGAAGGGGTTGTAATAGAGAAGGGCAAAATCAACAGTAAATGTCTTTCTAAAGGGGCTAGCTTATAGTAAATGGAAACTGGGGGTGGGAAGGAGGGAGGAGTGAGAGTGGGGTCATAAATTGAATAAAAGTTGCCAGTCTGGAAACACCCTAATCCAATTCAACAACAAGCTCTTAGACTGGATGAAAAAAAGTACTGCTTGAAGCTCTTGATTTGCATTAGCTCTGACCAAATAATGGTAATGGTACCTTGAATCTATAAAGTTGGTAAGGGGTGTTCCCTAACCAAAGAAACATGGAGTCCTTGATGTAAGAGATGAACATAAACTTTGAAGAGAGAATGTATAAATTAATACCTTTCCCTCTATCCAATTCCCTCCTCCCCTTTCCTCTTTTGCAGTTTGCCTTGCAACTAAAAAGGCAAGGATGTCTGGCTTGCCTTCCAAATAGCAAACCTTTAAATGTACTACAATTTACAGTATCTGATCATGAATGAAGCAGATATTCATAAGAGCAGATGGAACCACAATTGCCATTTTGACAGGTTGTAAAAAAAATAGCACAGGTGGTGTGTTTAAAAAAAAAAAAATAAAATCCCCAAAGATGGATGGGAAAAAGTTTTTAGAAAGCTCCCTACACTTGCTTTAAAGACTAAGTGGTGACACCCATTTTAAAGACTTAAATTATGGTGAATATGCCATGTCCCTTAGCAAAATATTCCAATGTTCGCCTTGCTTGCTAAGAAACTACATCTGTTTAAAGGCTAAATTTGTCTTAACTTTAATTTCACACAGTAGATCATGACAGTCCCTTATCAACCAATTTTTAAACCCTCTGTTGTTGTTTAACCTGTTCAGGGAGCTGAAGAAGCTGTGCTTCTTAAGCCTCTTACCTTTTATAAGATGTGTTTCAGCTCCTGGAACATTTCCATAGTCCTCCTTTGAACTCTCTCCAGAGTTTCTGCTTTCTCCTCAACATATAAACAGCCGAATGCTTTCTGGTTGTGGTTTTTTCAGTACTTCATACTGAGCAAGGCCACTTTTCTGCATCTACTTGATACTTCCCTTTTTATATGTCCAAAGATTTTGTGTGTGTGTGTGTGTGTGTGTGTGTGTGTGAGAGAGAGAGAGAGAGAGAGAGAGACAATGACCTTCGAATTCTCAAGTCACTGCTTAATAACACTGTCCTCACTCTTCCCCCATCCTGGACATTCAACCTACATTCTTTGTTCACAGACATCTTGCAATTGGCAACAAGCGATCCCTGGGGAACTTTCCTGTCAATGGCCTTGATGTCTCACCATTAATTATTACATTTTGAGATCTGTTTGAGCCAGCCTTTAAACAATATAGTATGTACCAGTTAGTTCTATTTGATATGGCTTTTAATTGAAATCTCATAAGGTATTATAGTCAATGCTTTGGAAACAAAAAAAAAAAAAAATCAAAGAATGCTGTAGCTACATGGTTCCCTTGAACAAGTAGCCTTATAATTCTGTTTAAAAAGGAAAAAAAAAAGTTTGTTTCACAAGAACTGTCTTCCACAAAACTATATATAGTGACATGAAATGGTTCTTTTTAGCCTCCAAAATCTACTGTTTCAGTCTTCAAATTAACTGGTCCCTCACTTTACTTGATTTGTGATGGGGCTAACATCTCAACTAGCAGATTATCCTATATGCCCTTTTAAATACCCTGTAGAATTGCTAGCAGTTCTTCAGTTTTTCTAAATTTATCTAGTTTTCCAAGAGCTGTTGAGCAGCTTGTTCAGCAAACTAGTTTCTTTAAAGACTCTTGGATGTAGGTTATTGAGTTGTTTCTTGACTTTAAAATGTTTAATTCTAACAGATGGAACCTCATATCAACCTTTGTTACAGACTAGGACTGTTTTATTCCATCCACATGATCATAAGGAATTAGGCTTGTGCAAATAGGGAATTATTCGATTCAGATTTGGCCGATCTGGATGCTAGAGATTCGTTTTGGAGAGATTGCAGAAGGATCTGGATAGGTTACAGGGGTGGGCTAACAGGAACAGGATGCATTTCAATACGGACAAGTGCAGGGTGCTGCACTTGGGCAGTAGGAACCAGCAGCACACTTACACAATGGGGAACTCCCTACTTGAGAGCACGGAGGCAGAAAGAGATCTTGGAGTCATTATTGACTCCAAGATGAACATGGGCCGACAATGCGAGGTCATGGTTGGCAGGGCTAACCGGACCTTGTCGTGCATCCACAGGTGCATCTCGAGTAGAGCCAAGGAGGTGATCCTCCCCCTCTACGCGACGCTGGTCAGGCCACAGCTGGAGTATTGTGTCCAGTTCTGTGCGCCCCATTTCAAGAGGGATGTGGACAACATGGAGAGGGTCCAGAGGAGGGCCACCCGCATGATCCGGGGACAACAGGGCAGACCCTACAGTGAGAGACTGCGGGACCTGAACCTATTCAGCCTCCACAAGAGAAGGCTGAGGGGGAACCTGGTGACTGTCTATAAACTCACTAGGGGGGACCAGAAGGGTTTGGGGGAGACGCTGTTTCCCCTAGCGCCCGCTGGCATAACAAGGAGTAATGGGCACAAGTTGATGG